AAACCATAAACCTTTGCTTTTGCATTTTGGTGTGTTGGGTCCTCGGTGGTCTTTTGGGGATCCAGTGGATGAGGTACAACATTTGGGGGCTTGTCCGGGATCCCCCCAGAGACCCCCGAGAGGAACTGACCCCAATAGGTTTGTGATCAACTGGCCGGGTAAGTTTCTATAAAACTGTGTGTGTGTGTGTGTGTGTGTGTGTGTGTGCCTGTCTTCTCTATGCTTGCACTTTGGTCACGGCCATCTGATCTCAGTTTTTCTTTGTCACTGAAATGCTAGCGAGGTGACCTGGAGGATTCGGGAGACATCCCCATCTTCGTCGGGGTGGGTGTTCCTCATCGGACACCCCACCAGGACACTAGTCCATCTGAAACCTCAGAAGACCTCGTGGCCCTGTTGGGACATGCGCATCCTATCCGTACGGTCTTTGGCATAATTGAGCCAGGGAACTCACACAGCCGAGAGTCCAGACCATCTGAAAGCTGTGGTAGTTTATTCTGGGCCCTCTGTTTGTCTGTGTCGTTCTTGTTTCTAATAATGTTGGATGGCCCCCTAAAGGGACTTTTAACCTGAGTTCGATTTCCAGGGTAGAGTACCACGTCTTCTGCCCATGGACGGGCCACCAGGGCCAAATCCCATACATCGTGACCTGGCAGGGCCTCATCGAACAACCCGATGGCCCCCCCGCCTGGGTCAAGTCCTTCCTTCTCCCGATTAATCCAACTGCTCCCCCTCCACCTCTGCAGGTCCTCCCTCTCAGACCAAAGGCAGAAGAGAAACCCATTCTCCAGGGAGGCACGGAGGAGAATGACATCTTTCCCCTGCCCTACTCCTCTCAGATGGGCACCCCGCCAATGGCGCCACAAGCACAGGCCCCACCTCCTAACCCTGAGGAGGCACCATCACCTCCACAGGGACCTGCACAGGCCACATGGAGCCGGAGGGGGGCAGCCCCCCAGCCTGACACCATTGTCCTCCCCCCTTGGGCCAGCGGGGCCCCCAGACAGAGAGGGCAATCAGCCCTTTCATTACTGGCCCTTTGCCACCAGTGATCTTTGCAATTGGCGCTCACAGAATGCACCTTTCTCTGAAAACCTCAGGGACTAGATTAACTTATTGGAAACTGTTCTCTTCACTCACCAACCCACCTGGGATGATTGCCACCAGCTCCTGAGTGTCCTGTTCACTACTGAGGAGTGAAACAGGATCCTGGAGGCAGCCTGGAAATTGGTTC